GGAACGCGTGCCAGCATGGTTCACGAAATTGATATAGAACTGGATCACACAAATATAACAGTAGCTCAGTTGCAAGTGGAATTAGAGATCGGATCGATGGCTCGTTGGATAGATCTTGCTGTTATCTTCAAAACGGTATCACAATATTGATAGCGCAAAGAAAAACAATCACTTTTACGCTGTTAGGTATAATGGAGAAACTCGTCGAAATGAAGAATACACATGGAGAAGGTGACCCGAACTACATGTATATGTATATGTATCCAAGAGAGGATATTCACAAAGTATAACTTACAAAACCAGGTAGGGTGAGTGCTGTACGATCCGCTTCGGGGAAAGAAATCTTCGCAAAACAGAAAGTAAATAACCACACTAGCTCTGTGAAAAACACCAGAATACATGTTTACGGAGGAGGCCTCTTTACCATTAAATGAAGTAAAGCGGATCTTATGGGAGAAGTATTCAAAATTGTGGATTCACATCACACTTAAAATGAGCATTCCTCGATCGTGAGAGCCAAAAGCATTTGAACAACCAAGAAAAGTCAAGCGAATAACACCGGCACTATTATCAGTAGCAAGAGAATTCCAAATATGAGTAACAGTATCAGATGTGTACAGACTGAATTCACAGACAAACTGGATGGGATAATGTGAGTCATAAAGAGACTCCACTTGACACATTAAAACATTTTTATACGCTTTCAGTGATAGATGAGTACAATCAGTTGGACGGTAAGTTGACGAGACTTTTTCGGGCGTGGGGGTTGGTTGGTCGGGGACTGACACCTCCGACAACCGGGTTTTGTTTCGAATGACATTCGTGGGTGCTGCACGCTGCTCAGTACGTGCTTTTAACGATGAAGGTGATAATAGTTCGTTAGCATACTTTACTTTTATTGATTTGACTGACTATCCTTCGGATTTCACCTTCACGCGCAATCCTAAGTTCATCGATTCTACCATACACTCGGAAGCACTAGACTCCAATTTCGATGTTATTAGAGCTCATCAGTAGTGCATATCCACAGTCCCGTCCGGGATTTGAACTTCAAACCCATCGCATGGAAGGTGTGTGTTACCACTGTGCCAACTAACTCATGACATGGTTAAACCAAATTGCCAATTCATGTTTGTTCAGGTGTTGTCTTCAGTAATAGTCAGCCAGTTCATTTGGCCCGACAGCAACGAAGGGAGACACAGATGACAACCTGTTACTTTACTTTACTGCGACTGACTCCTTTGAAAGGATAAGCCGGCTACAGACATGATCATGATCGTGAAGTTCTTTGGGAGTTTCGTACGAGAGGCGTCACTCGGCGTTTTTTATTTTGAGAGCGCGCCTCTAGCCTTCGCACAACCAAGTGTGAACTGCGAGCCAGCAGGAAGTAATCCCTCGCCTCGGAAGTGTAAGGAGTCAATGGCTTTAGTTTTAAAACGCCAGTCACATCGACCTTTGTCACAACACCGTCATTGGGCTTATGCGGCTTTTAAACAGGAGCCAGGTAACCAACCTGAAACTCACCACACCCTGGTAGTGCCGCCGCTGTTTGTTCACGACTGCTTATTTGTTGCGGTACGCCACAACTTATTCACAGTTAACCTTCTTCGGTGAAGGTATAACCCGTATCCACAACCCGGGGAAGCGTCTGGTTGCATTCAGCTCTGCTTAACCCGAGGGTATCGTTAACATGAGCTCTACTGGCCTTGAATTCCATCAAAACCTGAGTAACCTAATATGGAGAAACGTTCACCACGTTCACCATGGGTTGGAAAAGCAGATGGGAAGAACAAGCTGGATTCATGTGAGCTTACGAGTTAGTACTTCAACGTTGGAACAAGAGTTGACGCGTTGGCTAAGGATTTACAGCGTGGCAAATGTTAACTTACAACAACCATTATTACTCAAAACAGTCTTATCGTATATTCTCTTCAGGTGTCTTTTTTCGGCTCGAATCGAAACAGATAATTCATTCACACGGTTATACCAACCGGTCATGTTAGCGGTTTCATTAACAAATGAGCAAACACCCTGAATCCAAATATGAATAGTTCCACCCGGGAAATAAGTTAAAAGCGGTTATTCTTCACCCAGCAGAATGATTTTGTGCTATTATTTTTGTTCTGCCTTTATATTTTTCTTCGGTCCAACTGCTATTTTGGTTTAACATGGTAAAATGTGATATATAATATATATATCACCGGTCAAGACTCATCATTGGAAAAATAAGGATATTCGGTAAGGTGTTTATCAAATAAAACTTCAAGATTTAATGATAGGAGAATATAAGTCGTGTGGTCGAAACCAAATCTTTGAATATGACCAAATTTTTACGGGATTATACCTTTTATGTTCAAGATTTGGGTTGTGGGTGGCGAATGACCACCTTTGGAATAAATTCTCGAGTGAGTGAAAACTCATACAGTGGTCTTAAGTGCTAACAAAACGCTGCTAATGGACATTGTAATATTTCAATGATCGCACCCATCTTAAGCAATGGGAATATGCTTCTTTTTTGTTCAACTTTTACACGGATGTACTCTGAGGCTCCTTACTTACTTCTACACGCTCCTTTCTTTTTATGGACAATCTGCTCACCTCAACCGCCAACGCCGGACATGTTTCTGAATGACATAGTTCATCGTTCTGCTATGAACCATTCCGATCGCCACTCCACCATCGTTGGCAGAAGCCATGGCCATTAATCTCTAAGGTTATTTGTGAAGTCGTGTTCTTTTATTCGTCCGTAAAGCCTTTCTGATATTCATT